ATAATTAACCTATGAATATTATTTATTAAAAACAAATTTTTTGTTTTCGAGGCGTGAAGGCAGAGTATGCTAAGAATACCCTGCCCTGGCTACGGATCACGGATGCTCTGAATTAGCAAAGCTGGCAACGTACAACTGCAGATCACTCGTAGGGTAAGCAAGGCTTCAATTCCTTGAAAAGGAATTTAGGAAAATCACATGAAATTCAAAAAGTTAGACGAACAGAGGAGTGCCTGTTAGAGATTACAAGTGGGAACCCTTTGTTCTACAGAGGATTAGCGAATGGAAATACAGGAGATGGTGATAGGGTTCATTATTCACAGAAGATTAAAGAAAAGTATACTGCAATTAGACTGCACCGCAAAGAGGTGAGCTTCAAACAGATACGAACACCAAATGACTCGAGAATATGCGCTGCTAACAAGAGATCCTGAGGAAGATTGACGAGATGAGATCAAAAATTGTTACGAGAAACATAAAAGTGCGTAGACATGGAAAGAGCCCTTACAAACCCATCACAGATGATTTCAATGCTAAAGTTTGGCCGTACAAAAGAAGCAAATAGCCTTTGTGCCTTGGTTACGGCGGAACGAGCGACAGAGGTGATCGACAAGAGGAATTTCCTCAAAAAACAACAGATTTTTATCATGAACACCTTTTCAGAAGAAACCAAACAAAAGACATTGATAAACGTGGAAAGGCTCAACGATACTTCAAGAATGAAGTCGATTTCAGCTTCAATAATATGGAGAACGCAGTGCCGGCCGTTGCGGCACTGGTCAGATTGAATGCAGGAAACGGTAACAGTGCAAATTGCGCTTTTTCCAGCTTTGTGAAAAAAAGGCCTACTGAGGAAGCGGTCACAGATATGCAACGCAGAAGTACAAAAGATGAACCATGAACCCCATACTATTCGAACTGGAATTAAACAAATGATTCGAGGTGTTTCATGGAATGCAAGAAGACAGTAGAAAAAAAGAAAATTAACGTAATTTATTCGTATATAACGAAGTCGGTTCCAGAAACTTCGAGAAACATTTCCTCAACAAGGATTGTGCAGGTGGATCGAAAATGAAGAAGCAAACAAAAGAATTTATGTACAAACGAAAAAAATAAAGACATAAACAGAAATCAAAAATCGAATACGCGAACCCTTGCAAAATTTCAAGAAAACGGATAAAAGAAAACGTCAGAATTCAATTGCAGATTGCCATGAGAAATTATTGAAAATAACTTAAGCATGAAGAAATTAAATCGACGACTGACGATCAGTAAGCGGAAAAAACTTCAATTCTCAAAGCAGAAAATAGGGCTGGCATTAAGGCTACACAACAGATTCTAAGAACAGTGGAAGACTTGTATAGAAACCTTGAGGAATATTTAAACTGCAACAGCGTTTAAAGGAAGACAATAAGGAATCCGGAAACAGAGAAGTTGACGAAATGCCTGATATCTTGCAAAATAAGTAAAACGCGCAGTGAAACAGTCAACATGAGGAAAAAACATTATTATTAATATAAGTCGTGGAATCATGAGGGTAAACATTGATCAAGATACTAGCGTTTGTTTTCACTCTATCTTAAGGAAACATTTCAGACGATTGGGCTATCGCGTCGGTAATTTCATTACATGAAAAGAAAAACAGCGGATTTGAACAACTGTCAGTTTGTTGCAAATAATCTGCAAGCTCTTCACGAAGGTGACTTTGAACAGAATTCAAGAAACCAACACGCTGCAAAGTCAAGCGTGCAAACGAGATTCAGCAGTGGATTTAGTATGATGGAAAATCTCAAAGTGATACAACAAGTAATTCTGAGAAGCACTGAATATGAGTTTCCATGCTACCTGGGGCTCATGGATTTTCAGGAGTCTTTTGATAGTCTACAGTCTACATCTGTACTGCATTGGATTCTTTGAGGAGTAAGGGAACAGTGATAAGATACGGAGATCTGATCGTCATAATTTACAAGAATGCACCCTTGTGTGAAGTGCAAAGATTCACGAAGGCACAAGAAAGTTCAAAATCGAAAACAGCGTTCGAAAGAGATGCGTAATAATAACAAAATTATTCACAGCAACTCTGAAAGAGGTTTTCAAGACACTCCGTCAGGAAAATCGGAAATTGAACATAAATGGGCAATATTGGTACCACCTATTGTGAACTACTGTAACTTACTAGTAACTCAGGAACCTAATGAGGCAACTGTAGTTTGCGGACATTATTCTGATTGTCTCAGGGTCACCAGAAGATTTCAAAAAATGAATCCATCTGCTGAAAGATGCCAGCATCAAGGTAGGACAGGAAATGAACTCGAAAAGTACTCAGGTCATGACTGAAAGCGCTTGACCGCACGAACTGTTGAAGTCAACAGACTTAGATTTGAGGAGTACATTGCTATGTTTATTTGGGACAGCTCATCTCTGCAGCGTAGAACCGGCTAAATGAAGTTAACGAATTTGCCATGCGGGTCATCAAGTAACGTTTCTAACAATTATTATTGATCATAATGTATGCTAAAACGCAAAAAAAAACATAAAGTATAGAAAGGGAAGAACGATGATGATTGTGACTAATCTTTTGATAACGATGACGACATGCTGGAACTTACGTCGCAGATGCGGCATTATTTACAGAACAACGTAATCTAAGGAAAATTATCCTACGTTAATATAGCCATCGAGAAATTTCGCAATTATTAAATATAAATATTGTGATTACCACAATAATGAATCCGGTTAGTCCAACGGCCAACCCCAGAGCACACGCCAATATTGCGATGGCATATGGAGGGAATTTGCTGGATGTTTTTTGACCAGCAACAACTACTCCGTCCATACTTTGAGGAAAGTAACTTTCACCTAAAGTTTCATACAAACAGATTAATTCATGTTTAACTAATGACTACCGTTGAACTTAATGCTGGACGGATTAATTTCGTGTACACCAATATAATACGATGCTTGGCTCAAGAAGTCATTGAAGTTTTTCATCAGTGGCTTCGTCTCCAAGCTTCTGACTGTGTCAGTTTCGCCGTTGACTGTCACGCTTCCTTCGCTAAAAACATAAAAGTGAATGGTTGCAGCAAAATAAATGAAATTTGATCTTCAGACTGAAGTAACGACTGAAACAGTTCAAAGAAGCATTTTTTCAAGAAAAATTGTCTTTCACGGTTGTAGCATACGAAGAGCGCTAAAATTCAAAAGGACGCTACGATAACACTTACATCTTTTATGATCGAACATAAACTGTATTTGTCTAAATGGTGGCTAATGCGATTGGCGTCTACAGGATCATATTCTGGACAGAGTTTTCCAAGTCATAATTTACTTCCTCAATATAACCGCTGAATAGGAAGGTAATTTTGCAAGACATATTCCTTGAATCTGTTCGAAATCAATCAGCATGAACGTCTAAGGTTTAAGAAATGCTTTTTTATGTGAACATTTCTGTTGATTAAAACTTTTGTTTACATTTACAGAAACTAACGGAACGTTGAAACGTTATGGAGGTCGGCTATGTCAGTTGGGTAACTAGGGTAGATTACACCTCTAGCATTGTTGGATTCGGAATCCAATCTGTAAGGTTGGCGGAAGATCTGGATTGTCGCAGAACAAACGGAAGAAATTACTGATCTTTAAACTTAAAGTTCAACCAGCGCTGGAAACTGATAAGTGAGGTGTTATTCAACCAAATTGTAACGGCTTGTTTACGCTGCCCACTTGTTTGTAGATGATTAATAGAGAGTTTAAACATGCACGGTTGTACGGTATCTGAACACCTGCAGTGCTTAGTCGAATATCACATTTTTTTGAGTCAAATTTTCCTTATAATTAACTAATGCATATGTATCCGCTATCTCAAATATGGCAATCATTTTCTATTACCTATATGACAATAGCTGTGTCGCCATTGGGTGTAGATACTTGCTTGATGCTTTCAAATACTGAACTGGAAAGAATAATCTTTTAATTAGTACACCTTAGTCTACATGAAATTCAGAACGTCTCACTATGTTTGAAGCATGAATCCCCCCACCCCGGACCCGCATAATCAAAGCGAAGATGCATGTTCTTACAAACGTATTCTTTATTATGAATTTTTACATCTAATATTGAAAAAAAACAAGAACATTTTTTACATGATAATTGTGACATTACGGTGGAACATTTTCAGAGTCGC